CACTTCAACGCACCACCCTGCTCCCTGGCCAACATCTCTGTCTCTGGCTTGCTGCAGTGTTCCCGTGAACCCCAACGCAAACTAGAGGAACAACACCTCATTTTCCGCTTGGGGACCCTACAGCCCTCTGGACTCAATATTGAGTTCAATAATTTTAGGGCCTAACCTCTCCCATGTCCCAGACCCCCTACCCCACACACCAGGCCTTGTTACCACACAGCATGCTATTACACACCCCCTGTTGTTAGTCAGTAACATTCCCCATTAACAACTCTTCACCCTCCCAGCCTGATCATTAGCAACTCCTTTGTCTGTCCAGCTGTCTTTCTCTCTCTTTGGGCCCTATCATATTGTTTATTCCCTACCCCACCCACCTCCCTATTTTCTGCATATAAACTGATGTTTTCCCAGGCACCATCGGTTCTGAGGAAGGGTTACTGGACACGAAACGTTAACTCTGTTTTCTCCTTCACAGATGCTGCCAGACCTGCTGAGCTTTTTCAACAACTTTGTTTTTGTTCCTGATTTACAACATCTGCAGTTCTTTTGGTTTTTATCTGATATTGTATGGAGTGGTTGAGGTAAATCACGTTGCTGCATCTTTGGGGAAACTAGATAACCACATGAAGAAGATAGGGGTAGAAGGGTATATTGATAGGATTAGCTGAGGTGGGTGGAAAGTCATGGGGAACATGGACCAGTTGGGCTGAATGGTCTGATTCTGTGCCTAAAAGTTCTATGTAAGAAAATGATTTAAGAGGAAGAGGTGGGAGAGGATTTGAGGCGAAATCTTTTCACTCAGAAGCTTTGGAGCTCACAACTTGAAAGGGTGGTAAGGAGCAGAAACACTAGTGACACATAAAAAGTGTTCTTGGAGACTCACTAAGTGCCCTGACTTACAACACATTTGTAGGAACAAGAGCTGGGGGATGCGCTTAGGCAGGATAGCTCCTTGTCAACCACTGGGTACATGATGGGCCGAATAGCCTTCTTCTCTGCTGTAAATGTTTGATTTCTATTTCTGTAATTCTATGTATTCCAATGGGTATATATGTGGAAATACACATGGCAACACATACATGCAGTGACATAAACTGCTGCACACACCAGGGAGAAAGATAATCAGTGCTGAAGTTTATCTTATCTGCTGAATGACCAGCAGCACCTTGACCTTCTCTTATAGCTTCCATGGCGAGGACCATCCAAACTCATCACTGTCGACAAAGATTTTTTTCTACTTGAGCACCTCTTTGCGGCAAATGAAGATTGCATTGAAAAACACCAGGAATGTCTTTTGCTTGATTGGCCGGTGGATGATTTCAAGGTGAAATTTCTAGTTCAGTTGAGCTTCATTCATTCAGCATTGTGCCAAATGTCACACCCAGAGCAAACCCCACTCAATGATGCTGCTATCCTATTCCATTTAAATTTACTCCACTTTTCCTTCCTGACACCTGTTTAAATCAATATCTTCCATTGTAGGTCGCAGGCCCAGTATGCCTCTGTGCTCACCAACTGCTTCTCAAATCCACTAAAATCAACACAATAATTGAAATATTTTCAAGCTGATTACACCACAGCCCGAGGCAGTGCTGGTTGCTAAGGGTAAGCTCCCTGGTTGCTAGGGGGAGTAAATCATCCTGCATTATTTGATTTTTCTTATAGATATGAAATCGCTACTCCCTCGATTAAATGTCTCACAGTCTAACACCTAGGGGACCTGGGGAAGGGAAAAGAAAGCAGCAACCTTGACCCTGTCAAATAAATATCTCTAACTTTTCCTGTCCTTAGGCTTTCAGTCTTTCAGCACCAACCTGCCTGCTTATATTTTTTTTGCCTGCTTTTTAAATAACAAAGTCAGCAGACAGACAGGGCTAGTGAAAACACTGCCGTCGCTGTATAAGATTATCTGGACACAGTAAATGCTCTCCATTTCCTATAACACAGCATGATGAGATGGTACAAGTCTCTAATAGCCTGGAAGATGTCGAGTCTGAATCCATTAACATTTTCCTTCTGAGAGTCAGTCACACACTCCAGATATCCTCTAAACATGCGCCAGCTATCAGACACAACGAATTACTTACAATAACACTTAGCACTCCGATATACCAACACTAATATGCTCAATATATGGAGTTCCGAGACATATTCTGGCTGATTGGTAGTGAAGGAGAAGGGACTATATCAAAGCCTCCCAACCATTTAATTCAAAATCTGAAACAGAACACATGCAACCAAGCTGGGCAGGAGTGAGTCAGCTCTAGAACACATACTGGAGTGCCATCATGAAAATCTAGGTTAGGTTCCCTGGACTACACTGATTTAACTGATCAAAACAGAGGTAGCAGTGAAGGGTGATGGGGGTGGAGGTTCACCTTTGATCTCAGTGTTCCCTGGATAAGGGAAGGAGTGAGGGAGGCAACAAAACAACATGTCCCCGAAATGATCTGTACCAGACAGTGGACAGGGAAGATTCAGGGTTCTGCTGTGATAAAATCTCCAGTCAAACAGCTCCCCCAACACTCATTATCTGCAGTCTTGGAGGTTGAGGCTGGACCTTGATACATGCCAGGGGATACCTCGAGGACAGGAAGAATGAAAAAGGGAGAAAGTGAGAAATTATATTAAAAAAGGCAGGCAAGTTGCTGATTAGACACGACTCCAGTAATTGCAGAGACTTGCAGACTGATGGCTTTTCAGAATGCTTTCTGATCGGAAATAAAGATAAGGGCAAATTGTGAGTTTCCATTTTTTATTCTAACACTTTGACTTTTTTTTTATTAACACCGAATTCATAAAGCTACTCATAACATACTACCAACCACAATCACACAGATAACTCTCTCTACCTCTCCTTTTAATCTTCCCTCTATTTCTCTTCTTGCTCTTTCTCCCCCTTTACTTCTCCCTCGTCTCTTCTTCTCTCCCTACCATTACTTCTCTCACTACCTCTCCTTCTACCTCTCCCTCTAACTTTCCTTCAATTTCTACCTTTCCCTCTAATTTTCCCTCTATCTCGCCTTCTCTCTCTACCTCTCCCTCTCCTTCCCTTTCTACCTCTCCCTCCAATTCTCCCTCTACCTCTTCTTCTGCCTCTAACTCTTCCCTGAACATGTTGCAGTTCTGTGCCTCTTTCTAAGTGACCATAACTTTTCGTTGGAGCAAATGACGAAAACTAATTCCTCTGCACAAAGAGATAACAAGGTGTAGAGCTGGATGAACACAACAGGCCAAGCAGCATCAGAGGAGCAGGAAAGCTGATGTTTCGGGCCTAGACCCTTCTTCAGAAAAATTTCTGAAGAAAGCTCTACACCTTGTTATCTCAGATTCTCCAGCATCTCCAGTTCCTACTATCTCCTCTACACAAAGCCAGGAATTGCTGGAAAAGCTCAGCAGGTCTGGCAGCATCTATGGAGAGAAATCAGAGTTAACTTCCGGGTCCAGTGACACTTCCTCAGAACAGGGTCACTGGACCTGAAACGTTAACTCTGATTTCTCTCCACAGGTGCTGCCAGACCTGCTGAGTTTTCCCAGCAAGTTCTGGTTTTGTTTTTGATTTCTAGCATTGGCAGTTGTTTCGGTTTTTAAACTAATTCCTGTTATTTGCATGTCTGCTATTATGCTGATCAGGGTGAAGGTGGTTGGAAAGGACCACATGGTCCAATTTGCACTGTAGTACCAAGCAAGTGAGCAGCAATAAGATGCTTAGTAAAACAGCCCAGGAGCAGGACCCAGACTAGGTCAATGGACACAGTGGTAAATATGACTTTGTGCCAGTTTGGATAATAGGATTAGAATTTTGGATTACCCCAAAGTTTATGAAGGTAGAGGTCAGCATGACAACTAATGTAGTCAGGTCTGGGGAAAATAAAGGTATAGATGAAGCCTTCAGCATTAGATACAGGTACAGAGTAGCTAAAGGTGGAATTAAGGACTTGAAAATGTTTACATATCCAAGACTTCTTTTCCTGCCTTAAAGCTGCCTTGTCACCAACCCAATGCTGTCTCTTAAACCCTGCTTCAGGTTGGCCCTTCCATATCCCCACACCATATAAGCTCAGTTCCTTTCATGGTGAGACTGATAATCAGCACAGTTTATGGTGAGTTAGACACCAGCTTTGTACTGTGGACTAGTCTCTACCTGGAAACAACAGCTTACTAAGGGATTCAAAATTACAAGGCCATGATGTATGAAGGCGGGTTTACATTCACGTGAGCCCAGTTGATCGAGCTGATTAAGACGAGGAGACTTTCTGATAGGATAGAAATCGGGAAACCCTGGTGTTCAGAAAAACAAGGTCAGCCTTAGAATTAGATCTTGGTTTTACAAAGGTGATGTCAGGAAGACTTCTTCAAACAGAGGATGGTGGGAATTGGGAACTAAAGCTGAAATGAGCTTTGTGAAGTCAACTCAGAAGTTAACATTGGAGGTTATCAGTTCTTTATTAGGTAAGAAGGGTGTTAAGTATTACAGAACTAAGGCTGGATTTAG